TTGGTTTGATCTCACCAAAGTTCCTGCACTTTAGTTTGGCCCTCTTTCCTGTAATCCTGCCATTTTAAATGGCTAAGGATATTACCTGGCCCAGCCTTATTACATTTTGCACTTTCTTTCGGCTTCACTTAGGGATCCACTACACATACCCTAAGTACTCCGAACTCAACATCTAATAGTTCAGCCATGATATTGCTTTTATAATGTTGCTTTGCGATTGTGATATGTTTTTGCTGATGTGTGTTGTTGTTGATTTCATTTTATTGTGTTTGTTTTAATCTGTATTTCTTGGGCTTGTCCCTTTATAAGCCACCCTGAGTCCCTTTGGGGAGATGGAGGTGGGGTATAAAAATAAAGTTGTTGTTATTATTATTATTTTACTGACACAAAAGCATATTATTATTATTATTATTATTATTTGAAACACAACAAGATGAGTCCACAGCAGACAAGATCACTCTGCTGGCTGTTGTATTGGATCACACGTTGGACACTTCCCAAGTGTCTAGGACTGTGTGATGTATCAGCGAATAATGTGTGCAGATACCAGTAAGGTGCCCTTCTGCAGCTGGCAGATGGTAATTTTGTGTTTAAGTGCAGGCCAAGGTCTTTAGGCACTACACCCAGTGTGCCGATCACCATTGGGACCACCTTGACTGGCTTGTGCCAGAGTCTTTGCAGTTCAATCTTTAAATCCTCATACCGTGTCAGCTTTTCCAGTTTTTTCTCTTCAGTCCTGCTGTTGCCTGGGATTGCAACATTGACGATACATACTTGGTTTTTTAACACGATCATGAGGTCAGGAGTATTGTGCTCCAAAACTCTTGTCAGTCTGAATTCAGAAGTCCCAGAGTAGTTTGACATGTTCATTTTCTGTAACTTTTTCAGACTTGCGATCCCACCAGTTCTTTGTCGCAGGCATATGGTATTTGTGCCACAGGTTCCAATGAATCATCTGAGCAACGGTGTTGTGCCTCTGTTTGTAGTCTGTCTGTGTGATGTATTGTTTCATCTGCTTCCTTGCAGAGTCTATAGTTGGGATCTGTCATCGACTTTTCAATTCTAGCTTTGATGGCATTTGTTCTAATGGCTTGTTCTTGTTTATTATTATTATTATTATTATTTACTGTTTATTATTAATTGAGAATTTTTAAAAAAATCAAATGTATGAGTAATATAACAACAACAAAAACAACAACAACACTTTATTTATATTCCGCCCTATCTCCCCAAAGGGACTCAGGATAGATCACAATACACATACACGGCAAACATTCAATGCCATTCAACAGACAGAAAGGAGGTATGTTGTGTAATCAAATCCACAAAAGTAAAAAAACCACAAATGTGGGGGGAAGACTATGTATATCATGTTGAAACCAAAGGGATGATTTCTGAGTGGCAGTAGTGAAGAACACGATATAACTGAGATATAAGGATAGATAAGAGTATATACTTCAAAATTGATGTCCAAACTATAGCAAAGAAAAAGCTTCTTCTTTTAAAATGAAGTCATGCTGTCACTGTCCAACTGTTCCTGAATCACTGCCCTGTTCTCATAGTTACTGCTCTGTACTTATAAATAAATTTTAAGAAGAGCTCATAACATGAGAATTGACCCACTGTGCCTCAGAAACAAAAGACATTCACTGTGGTAATGTGAATTTCCTGGTTAATCAGTTTGGGGTGCTTTGCCCTGGTTCCCTCCGTTTTTTTCTGGAGAGTAATTTGAGTTCTAATATCATTTGGCATTTTCCTCTCGGTATAAGGATACGACTCTCATTTGCCGCTTCTGTGAAATTGTAAAGGCTCATCCCGTCAGAGATTGACAGTGTTACTAGGTTATTTCATTTCATTCCATGTGGAATGAGGCTAATCTACTAATTCTTTCCATATCCAGAACCTTATTTAGCATCAAAGTGTCAGCTCTGAGGTATATTATTAGTCACTTGTATGTTCAACGTAAATCTCTGGGCTAGAAAGTTAAATCCAGAATGAAAGAACAATAATGTTTAAATTCTTAAGAATCCTCTGCCATTATCTCCAAGGTGAAAAAGAGCCTGAAGTCTCAGAACCAAGCGAGATAATTTGTGAAATATGTTGTTGCTTTTTCACTTGTATCTGTGGTTTGGAAAATAATAATAATAGCAGCAGCAGAAGTGTGTGTGTGTTTGTGTGTGTGTGAAGACCAGTAATTCCATCTCCTGAATTTGCTGTGGAGAGGGGCCCCTTTGTCTCCCTCAACGAAGGAGAACTGAACAGGTGATTTTATCTGCACTGGACTGTGTCTATATGTGGGTTTTTCTTTCTAAAATACCCTCCATTGTGCCACAGCCATGATCTTGAGTGGGCTTATTATAGCCGCAATTTATACTTTCAAAACATGTTACACAGTTTGGTGTCTCATGTTCAAAAAACCTCGGACCAGACATGCTCCATATTTTGGATTTTTCCCCTCAGATTTTGGATTGACTGTATTTGCTTACTTACTTACCTACATATGTACATTCAGTGAGCCTTCAAAACAAAACGAGCTTTTACAATTTCAGTGGAATTTGATTCTGGACCTCCCACCCCATTGGATAGCAAAATCCGTGGGTGCTCAAATTATATACAACTGTGAATAAAATGTGTTCCATAAAATGGCAGATTTTAGGTTCATAGAATCATAGAGTTGGAAGAGACCTCATGGGCCATCAAGTCCAACCCCTTGCCAAGAAGCAGGAAAATTACATTCAAAGCACCCCTGACAGATGGCCATCCAGCTTCTGTTTAAAAGCCTCCAAAGAAGGAGCCTCCACCACACTCCAGGGCAGAGAGTTTCACTGCTGAACAGCTCTCACAGTCAGGAAGTTCTTACTAATGTTCTTGTCATTTGGAACCATTGTTCCACGTCCTAGTGTCCTGGGCAGCAGAAAACAAGCTTGCTCCCTCCTCCCTATGACTTCACTTTTTAGCCATTTGCCAAGGAGGTGGAAATTCTGCATGCTGCGGATAGTTGAATCTGTGGACAGCAAGGATCTACTGTATACCTTCCACAATTTCACAGATACTCAGTCCCTCTCCAGTATCACACACCATACATGAACAAAACATGAGGCTGGAGAGAGACACGTGCTGTAAAATAAGTGTGGATTCATTCTGAGATCTATGCTTGGGATTTCTGCCATTTCATAGGTCTATCTTCAGCTGTGCATCTCATACATAAACAGAGGTGGTCCTAGGTAATTTTCAATGGTAAGCATAGCAAACAGTATCCCCCCCCCCAACCAATCACTGATATATATTTTCTGTTCGTCGTGGGAGTTCTGTGTGCCATATTTGGTTCAATTCCATCATTGGTGGAGTTCAGAATGCTCTTTGATTGTAGGTGAACTATACATCCTAGTAACTACAACTCGCATATGTCAAGGTCTATGTTCCCCCAAGAGTGCCTCAAGAGCGCCCCTGGGCAAAATCAACTATACTGCAAATGCTTACTTTGTGTAATGAGTTAAGCCGCCCCTGTACATAAACAAGACATGAGGCTGGAAAGAGACTGAGGATCTGTGAAATGGCAAGAAGCATGGATCCATGCTAAGCACTACACTTGGATTCCTGCCATTTCACAGGCCCTTGGTCTCTCTCCAGCCTCACTTCTCATAAACAAACAAGACATGAGGCTGGAAAGAGACTGAGGATCTGTGAAATGGCAAGAAGCATGGATCCATGCTAAGCACTACACTTGGATTCCTGCCATTTCACAGGCCCTTGGTCTCTCTCCAGCCTCACTTCTCATAAACAAACAAGACATGAGGCTGGAGAAAGACCAAATATCTGTGAAACACAAGACTGGCAGGTTGCATTGATTCATTTTGAGCACTGCACTTGGATTCCTGCCATTTACCAATGGGATGTATGGCTGGGGAAAGACTAAGGATCAGAGATGAATGAGCAGGAGTATCACAATTGCCACATTGAAAGTGGAAGCTTTTTTGAGGTTTTGGACCAGATTTCTGGATAAAGGAAACACACTTTGCATATGAAATTGAACTGGGTACTTCAAGGATGATGTAGTAGTGAATTTTCAAACCCTGGTGAGACGTTGCTGTCTGAAGGTGGCAAAGCCAGTTCTACCCTGTGACTGATTTCTACATCATTCCCTAGAAAAGCAGAATTGCCCACGGTGATCCCTAACATATTGTCAAATTTATCCTGTTCAGCTACATGTGTTCTTTTTCATGCAGATCTGAGATAGTATTAAGATTTTATTATAGTATGGTGTTAATGCTATGTGGGCTAATTGGTTATCTGTATAATTGTCTTTAAAAATATTTTAACTTTTCATGTCATTATTTGTGCATTTTTTTTAAAAAAAAATCTTGCTGTGAACCTAAGGGGAAAGTCTGTATACAAGTCCATGAAAGTAAAAACAAATCCATGTTTGCAGGTACATTGTTTATTAAGAATCATGCTAAGAACCACTCATTTCTACTGGATAATGAATTTATGGTACTGACTTCTAATTTGGTACAGAGATTCTAGTGCAGTGGTTCTCAACCTGTGGGTTTTGGCCTTCCACTCCAAAAACTCCTAACAGCTGGTTAACTGGTTGGGATTTCTGGGTGTTGTAGGCCAAAACACCTGAGGACCCACAGGGTGAGAACCACTGTTTTAGTGGGAATTAAGCCACTAACTTATATAAGCTATATTGAGAAGAATAGTCATCTAGGGTCCGGGCTGTGTAGTGGTTTGACCTTTTGGACCAGAAATCTGGAGATTAGAGTTCAAATCTTCACTTGTCCATGGAAACCCACTGGATATCCTTGCGCAAAGCATATTTTCTCTGCCTCAGATGAAGGCAAAGGTAAACTTTAGGATTATCATATGTCAGAAATGATTTGAAGACACTCAACAGCAACCATTCCTTTTGAATTCACCAGACCTGTGCTGCTTAATGCTTGGTAGCAGCATGTAATTAAGAAACTTAACCTATTTTTTGTTTGTTTGTTCTGTTCCAGGGTCGTCATGTTAAAACTGGGCAGCTTGCAGCTATCAAAGTTATGGACGTCACTGGGGTAAAGTATTCTTGCTTTCTTGCTTTCTTCATTATGTGTTAGGGAAATCTACTCAAGAGCTTGAAAATAGTAATCTTAGTAAATCATGGCCAAAGTGTAGGTTTTTTTAGCTTGACTGCCCCCAGCCTATAACAGATATGGTAGACCAAAATGTGACAAACTTTCTTCATACCTTTAAGAAGCATAAGGTGTGTTTTTTTAGGGTAAAAGACAGGAGTAGGATGAAAGATACAGCCTGGAAGAATGTGGGTAGCCCCTGGACTTCTGGAAATTGTTTAAGTCAATGGCCTCATCTATGCTGACCATTTAATGCAGTTGCAAAATAGTATTGAAGAATAATAATCATCATCATCTTTATTTCTATCCCGCCCCACCTCCCCAAAAGGACTCGGGTGGCTCACAACAGAAAGTGGCTTCACTGTGCAGATATTTACATAGGAAAGCTTAGAACAAGTTTGGGGACCAGTTGGCAATTACACAAATCACAAAACACTCATGCACATTATGGGCTTTGTGGAAGTTTAATGTCTGGCTGCTTCAGGTTGAAGTTGACTTCGAACTGCATTAAGTGGTCTGTGTAGCTGGGGCTTAATATGCAAGTACTGGTTTGGTTTCCATTGCTGTGAGTGGTGGCAAATACTCATGAACTTTGTTGAGAACCAGAACAGACTTAAAATTATATCTTTGATTACAAAGCAAGGTCAGTATCAGGTGTGTTTAGTAAGCAGTACAGTTCAGAAAGGTTCCGTAGTTGCTATGTTGCCTGTGGGATACTGGGCCTTGGTCCAAAGAGACATTTTCCCTCCATGTCTGCCCAGCATCAAAAGCTCAACATCCTGAGGAAACTCATAGCTAAAGCTTGCTCAGGCACTTTGAGCAAGCAGAGACATTAACAAAGATCAGCAGCAACTTGTGTTTATTTGCTCATTCATGTTCTCCCCACCTGGACAGCAATGGGAATTGGGAATTCACTTCACTCCGCAAACAGGTGATCTGGTGGTGGTGGTTCCTCCTTCCCCCTCTTTGTTCAATGTCTTGAAACCTGATATTTCTCTATGCTAGTCAGCATTGTATTGGCTCTTTTCAATACTTTATTTATCTCTACAATACCTACCATGTATACTCATGTTTAAGTCTAGAAATTTCAGTTAAAAACTGACCTAAAACTCACGTGTCAATGTAAATATTGTGCCTTAGCTCATATCAAGAAAGGAAACATCCCCTTTTCTGAGCACAGTAACAAAGATGATATCTTTGTCATTCCTGGGGCAATCTAAAAGAACCACTGACTTCCGGTGTTGTTTGGTGATACACCAGCACTCTTTGGCAGATAATGTTAAAGACCTTACAAAACTACAACTCCCATAGCATTGAGCCATGCCTTTCATGTAGATCAAATTACATTAATTCTACAGTGTAGATCAGTGGCCCCAACCTGTGGTCCATGGACCACCAGTGGTCCTCAAGAATGAAAATATGATTCGCGGCCTCACCATTACTACACCGTTTCCTTGAAACAATGTGGCAACAAGAGCAACTGGTCTCCTGAAACCCTCTTATAGTGCCGAGGCAACGAGGATGTTGGGAGGGGAGAGGCTGACTTACCACGAAAGATTACTTCTACCACATCTGCTCTAGATTATTACATATGGTTTTCTGTGGGTGAGGAGATGGTGACTAYTGGATGGCATATGCTCTGTATCAGAAACTAGAGGTTATGTTGTTTATCCAATACAATTTTCTGAATCAGCACCCCAAATAACCAAACCAAATCAAAAGTTGACCAAAAACTGATTTGTAACCCTTTTTGTACTAATGTTGGAGCTCATCTGCCTCCAACATTAGTACAAAAAGGGTTACGAATCATTTTTTGGTCATCAGCTCCATCTCCTAATGTGGGGACATGARAGAAGCCTTCCACAAAGATGATAAAAACATCATCTGGGCGTCCCCTGGGCAACGTCCTTGCAGACGGCCAATTCTCTCACACCGGAAGCGACTTGCAGTTTCTCAAGTCACTCCTGACACAACAAAAAAAAAACTAATGTTGGAAAGTGGTCCCTGGTAAAAAAAAAAATCACTGGTGGAGATACACACTAAGAGGAGGTACCTAAGGCTCATTTTTGTTTGTACCATCTCTTCCACAGTGGTTTTTGAGGGACACTTCAGCATAACCCATTCAGACACAGTGTGGAGACTTGAGAACTGAGATAGCAAAAGAAACTAATCCTTCTTTTTCATTTGTCTCCTGCTACTGGTTCTCAGTATCTCACCATTACTGAATTGGAGATTTCCAGAAAGGGGTAGCCTAGATTTCATTTAGCCAAGAAATGCTGCTGTGGCTAAATTGTTTTGCTAATGCTAGAGAAAATTGGCATATTGCAGCTTGGTGTGAAAAATCTTTGAAGTACAGACCTCTTAAGTTTTGTACTTTGCAAGAACTGGCTACACAGGAGCTCAAACACATATAGTTGGAAAATGTCCTGCTGAAAATGCATGAATGGTGGTCACTGAGGAATTTACATGACAAAAAGAGCAGGGATTTTCAAGGTATTAAGCTTGTTATTCTTTTAAGAGAAGACAAATAAACTGTATGCTTGCCAAAAACCCGCAGGGGAAGAATGTATAAAATTACTAAAGCTTTTGGAAACATAAGCACTTTAGGGGTTACTTAATAAGAGTCTCAATTCACACAAAACCACACAACATCTTTAAGCCTTACTGTTGCATGTCTTGCCTAGAAATACGGCGTGAGATTTCAGAAAGAGCATGTCTTTAAAATACAATTTTAATTCAACTCTTGTTTCAACAGCATCAACAAATTCCTAGGGTTTTTTTTTTTTTGCATGCACATATCTGTTTGTTTCTCATACACAAACTCTCCTCTTTCCCCCTTCTTTTTCTGCTGTTCAATTCTCAAAACTTTCTAGATGTTTGTGCAGCCATTTTCCTTGGGGGGTTAGTCAGTAACACCTTTGATTTGCTGAGTCTACCTGTACATAATTGACTCTTAATTAACTGATATATTTAAATGAGCTTTAAAAACCTATAGCCTTAGGAATAAGCATTTGAATTCAAGCCAGACCAAATACAGTACACATACATACATATATACATAAAATGTCATGTAGGTGTTTTTCATAACCTACAAAATGTTATAGGTGAAAAGCAGGACACACTGGCCAAGCAACATCAGTGTGTGGTCAACTTACTAATAAATAAGAACACAAACAGCATGTTTTTGCCTGAGCCCAATAGGAAAGGCAGTATTCTTAATTTTCATCTCTTTTTTCCTCTGTTCAGTTAGTTGAGTTAGTAGAGTGCAAACTATTTTTGCACTTGGAACTTAGTTTGCAGGAGCTGACGTAGGTTAGGCTTCCCCTTGACATTAAGTCTAGTCATGTCCAACTCTGAGGGGTGATTCTCATCGCCATTTCTAAGCTGGAGAGCCGGCATTGTCCATAGATTCCTCCTAGGTCATGTGGCTGGCATGACTGCGTGGAGCGCTGTTACTTTCCCGCTGGAGCGGTACCTATTGATCTTCTCTCATTTGCATGTTTTTGAACTGCTAAGTTGGCAGAAGCTGGGGCTAACAATGGGAGCTCACCCCCTCCCACAGATTTGAACTGCTGATCTTTAAGTCAGCAAGCTTTAGCGGTTTAACCCACTGCCCCAACATGGCCCCTTGCAGCTGACATAAGCTGAGGACAAAAGGAGAAGTGGAGAAAGTGGGACAGCAAAGACTAATCAGAACCATCCTTGTCACATTGAGACAGTTGGAGAGCATGATATTTAATTGCCAGATCTCCAGAGGATACTGCTTTGTGTAGGTATCACAAGTGTGTCCTTACAACACCATTCCAGCAAGGCAGCCCAGATCAAGAGTTCAGAATGTAAGATTTTAAAAGGAAATGGCTACTTTATCCATTACTATCATAATCCAGAGGTGTGCTACTTTTACTGCAGTCCACATAGGTAATTCACTAAGTTACTCATTACCAACATTGTGCTACTGTTGTAGCATTGGAACATGTTTTGATGCCACAAGAAAATGTTCTCAGATACCAATGCAGTATCCAAATATCCTGGCCAATAAAACCACAAGCATCATGTTTAAAAAGTTCCACGATAGTAGAGGAACATTCTCATCATTTCCTGGGAACCAGGGTTTTGCCTTCATTGAAGTGTTCTTCATGGGGGCCCCTTCTGCTGGTGATGTTTAGTGAAGTTGCCGAGCAGTGATCAGGATTCACTAATGCCAGGGCTTTGCAAGTTTACTCTTTTGAACTGGTGCTGTCGTTAAATTTCATGAGTATGCAAGTATGCACCCCCTGCTATCCAGGAATACACAATTATACATTTCTAAGAGATGGCTATCCAAACTCTGTTTAAAAATATCCAAAGACAAGCCCACAACCCTGCAAAGAGTCTGTTCCACTATCAAATAGCAATTACGGTAGAGATGTTCTTTCTAATATATGGATTAGATCTCTTTTCTTGTAATTTGAACTTGTTGTTTCTGATCCTGTGTCTGGAGTAGTGGAAAACAAGCTGGCTCCATCTTGTACATGGCATCCCATTAGATATTTTAAATTGGCTATCACATCATTACTTGCATAGTAGAATGCACTGCTTCAGAGTGTGGTGGTATTTAAACAGGCTGGAGTGCTTTGATTGTGTATTCTTTCATGGCATGGGCTTGGACTGAATAGCTCTTGTGATCTCTTCCAACACCATGATTCTATGGATTAGTGGATGTTGTTGCTTATTCATTCAGTTGCTTCTGACCCTTCGTGATCTTATGGACCAGCCCAAGCCAGAGCTCCCTGTCAGCCGTGGCCATGCACAGTTCCTTCAAAGTCAAGCCAGTCACTTCAAAGATACCATCCATTCATCCATCTTGCCCTTGGTTGGCCCCCCTTCCTTTTTCCTTCCATTTTCCCCAGCATCATTGTCTTCTCCAAGCTTTCCTATCTTCTCATTGTGTGGCCGAAATACTTCATCTTTGCCTCTAATATCCTTCCCTCCAGTGAGTTAGGCTTTATTTTCTGGAGTATGGACTGATTTGATCTTCTTGTGGTCCAATGCATTCTCAGAATTTTCATCCAGCACCATAGTTTTCTTTTGGATTGGTGGATAATCCAAAGATTTTCCAGAAAAACACAATTTTGATGAGGTATTTAAAGGAAATACAATATATGGTTGTATACACAGGTACACTTTGAACTGGTCTTGGACATAAGGAACTTGCTTTCACCACCAAAGTTCACATATCTCTAGCAGAATTTAACTTATCATTTCATRCCATCCCAAATGGAATTATTTCCAACAATTACCACTTTGATGGCAATATCTATACACAAAGCTCTAAATAGATGATTTTAAAGCTGTATTCCTTTTGGTAGACACCCCCCCCCCCCTCATTTTTCTTGTGACATTCTTAAGAACCTAATTTGCTATGCTATCCCTCCGAGAATCACCTTTCAGGGTTTGTCTGAGTCTGTGATCATAAAGATACCAGTGTTTGTTTCCACATTTTGTGGGGTATCKGGTCAAAATGCACAGTTGTTGTTGGTTTCTTTAAAAGCCTTCTTTGTGCATATTAGATGAGCAACAGAATGCCTTTTCATTTCTATTTTATAAAATATTAGTGAAGCTAGAACTAGATGGGAAGAGTTGCAGCAACAGAGGAGAAAGGGAGTCAACAGACCTGTCTGTTCTTGGTGCAACAGGGGAATTTGATGCCACAACATGAGGATTGCCTTTCTAGTGATGCATAGTCTTTTGGTGCCCTGAAATCCATTGGGAATGAGAAGTGTAAGAATCTTTGAAGAATACAGACTATGAATTTGAAAGAAGAGACTGAAATAAAAGAAGAAAGACTGAAAAATGATAGAAAGAGAGGCCAGAGAGCAAAGGAAGGTTGACAGAAAAGAAAAGAAATTAGGAGCTGCAGCAAAGTTTATTAAAAGGTCAGGGTACAATAAGAGACTGGAGGAAATATGGGAATGGAAAGAGGTGTAGGGAGTGATGAGGTGTAGTGTCTGGAAGACTAGCCACCTGAGCCTTTAAGTGGTCTATTTTCCATAGCAATGTTTACAACAACAGACTTTAAAAACGTAGGAAATCCTGATGGAGTTGTTGACTTTCCAACCAACATATCCACCAAATTGGGGGTGGGGAATTGAATGAGATTCGTTGACTATATATTTGGCATTAATGAGAAAGGAATCTATATGTGCATCACTCTTTCTCATCAATACTGTCAGCGTGGGCACTGGAAGGATGCGATCAATTAATGTGTGGGTGCTAGACATAGAACTAATCATTAGCTGTTAATGGATGTTTTCCAACGTTACCTTCACATCCAGTGAATGTATGAAGCAGCTCCTATCAAACCCATTTGTTTCCTCAGATGCAGAGGTAGTGAAGGTGTAGTGAAGGTGATAGAAATGAAAATAAGTGAATGTTTCTCTATCTGAGAGGGAGAGAGATTGTGAACATGTGTGATTTCTGCTTATTGACCTTAGTCATTCTTCATCACACATTTTGAAACTTCTCAACAACACTGTTTTCCTACTTGTTTACCATTTGACCCTCTCTAGCTCACAAAATTCCATACTCAAAAGTGTGTGCATTCTTCATGTTGTTCCTGCTTGCATCTCCTACCCCTTGTTGACATCTCTAAGTTCCAAAACCCTTTTTTTTATAAACAGGATTTATCATCCAAGTTAAGAACCATCTGGAAATCATAGATTGCTAATTTCAAAGATACCCTAAGCTGCAATTTTCTACTAAATAGGGAGTGAAGGAAACAGGGAACAAACAAGCACATGACTTGTTCACATGGCAGCCAACAATATAAACCAGCACAGTGAAACTTTTCCTGAAAAATCCATTGTTTGAAACTATAACAATCAGCTCCTGTTTAATCATGTTAATTTTTGGAGTAAACCTCAAACTTCAATTCATGATATTCGTAAATTAATTGAAGTTTATGGTCTCTGTCTAATTGCAGTCCCATTTAAAGCAGACTCATTAAATCAGTGTGATCATGTAAATGTTGACTTATTAATCAATTGATTCAGTGGATATGCAGAGGGACTAGCAATTGGATAAAGTCCTTTGGTTTAGATCCAAAGGGGGATGTATTGAAGCCATTAGTCTCTGAAAGAAGTTATTTCTTCTGAGGAAGCTCTATCTCCAAAAGAACCTTTAGATCCAGTTCAGTTCATTTAACTCCCCCTTATATTATGAAGCCTCTGGGTGTAAACTTTATGTATGGAACTTGCTGACTGAGAGTAAATAGAAAAATACTAACAAGTGGGACTGTGTTTGTTCTAAAGCAATGCATGGAGAGAGGAAGAAGCGAGAAGGGAGTTGAAAATAAAAATGAATCAATTATAAGGAAGATGAAGAGAAAAAATGCCTTATAATAAGTCTGTTGTTGATATGGTGTTGTTTTTTTCAATCTTTTCATCCAGGATGAAGAAGAGGAGATTAAACAAGAAATTAACATGCTGAAGAAATATTCTCATCACCGAAATATTGCCACTTATTATGGTGCATTCATTAAAAAGAACCCCCCAGGAATGGATGATCAGCTCTGGGTATGGAATTTTATATATGTTTTAAGAAACAAATTTTAATTCATTCTCTGTAGTTTAATATATCCTACCTACATACGGTATCCAAACCCTTGTGCTGTTCAATGGGAAGCTGCAAATATAATTATGTTGCTTTTTCTAGTTTACGAACTGCAAATGTAATTCTGTTGCTTTTTCTAGTTTACAAACTGGTAGCTTCTTTGCTTTTTCTAGAATGTGTTGCATGTTTGTGTCTGTTTAATAAATTTAACAACAACAACAATATTTTTATATCCCACCACCATCTCCCCAAAGGGACCAAGCCCAGCATAATAATATAAATAATCTAAATTAAACAATTTCAACCAGCAAAGTATAAAACATCATAGAATGTATCAAAACCAACCTCAACCACCAGTAACCAAAGTATTATGGGCATAAACAGATTAGAGAGGGCAGGGCAAGGACTTGTGCGAAACAGACTATAGGGCAGGCATGGGCAAACTTTCCAACTTTGGGGCCGCATGGTAGGCTGGAGCAAGGTGGGCAGGCCAGGAGTGTATCCATTAGACCTCATATTGCCTACTCCTGATATAGAATCCTAGAATCCTAGAGCTGGAAGAGCCCCTCAAGCGCCATCCAGTCCAACCCCGTGCTATTCAGGATGGCATAACCAAAGCACTCCCAATAGACAGCCTCTGCGGAACAGCCTCCAGAGAAGGAGACTCCACCACACTACCAGGCAGTCTATGCCACTCTCCAACAGCTCTTACTCTCAGGAAGTTCTTTCAAATCTTTTCAGTTGAATCTCTGGTTGAATTGTCTGGTTGATACTGACACAATAAATAAATAGTTGAATCTCTTTCCCTGCTATTTCAAACCATTGCTCCCTTGTGCCCTGGTCTCTAGAGCAGCAGAAAGTCAGTTTGCCTCCTTCCTGCTCCTCAATGGGACACCCTTTAAAATCTTGAAACATGGTTCTCAAGTTCTCTCTCTCCTTCCACCTACATATCCTCAAGAGTAAAGTAGGAAGGAAAAAAGAGAAGGGAAAGAAAGAAGGAAGGAAGAGAGGGAGAGAAGGAAGGGAAGGAGGGAGGGAAGAGAGAAGGAAGGAAAGACAAAAGGAAAGAAAGAAAGGACAAAACGGTGGAAGGAAAGGAAGGATGAAAGGAGAAAGAGGGAGGTAAGTAAAGTAAGTGAAGAATGGTGTGAGAGAGGAGGGCCTGAGAAAAGAGCCCAAGGGACTGCATTTGGCCCCCTGACCTGGGTTTACCCATACTTGCTATAGGGCATAAAGTGCTGGATAAACCTTATTAGTAAATTAGGGCTGGGCAGTCATGATCAAGGGCTAAGCCATCATTCAAAAGCACACTGGAACATCCAAGTATTCAAGTTCATACAGAAGGCAGATGAAGCTATGCATGTGTGAGTGTATTTTTTAAAAGCTGTTTTAGGCATATATCTTAAGGAGAACTTGGAAAGGATGCAATAGAGTTGCACTGCAAAAAATAAATAAATCCCCTATCGCTTTTTCAAGTGCTGGTGTTAAATCATAAAGACACATGATGTAAGAGAGATAGCACTTGTACTTTGTGTGATGTGACTCATACTTCGAAGGGAATATCTTGTCCTTCTTTCAGAAGTCAGCAAAAAAAATACACAATAAAAATTAAGGTGCTAGATTTGGGGGGGGGGGCATCATAACACTTAGAAATCTGTAGTGCTTATCCCTTGTCTTGGCACAAGTGTTTTGTGGATCTTCCTGTTTAAACTTCATGCTTTTGGCTGCTACCAGTAGAGATGGGGAGCCACAGAGCACAATGAGGTCAGGACACGATGTAAATTGTACTAGCGATTGTGAAAGGGAAACTCTTTCATGGTCTGCTATTTTTGAGAGCAGCCCAGACTTTCATGGACATGATTCACCACCACCCGTAGTGGGTTATAAATAGTTATCAACATTTTTATAATTTACATTTCTTGTGAAGTTTAACTATATGCCTAGATCTAGGTCAAAATAACTATGTCTGTAGCGTTTACACCTCTGTGATTGGATGCTAAATGTGATGATGGGAGATCAGGTTTTAGTCATTTCGGCATGTATGCATATGAGCCAGAACACACATCCAGGCAATTTCCTTTGGGCCAGGAGTCCCACCTCACGAAATCACTTCATTATAAATGCCTGATTGAATTAGAACTTGTGAAAAGTCTGTCCTTCCTGTTCTGGAGATAAAGCTGTGTTTATTTCCCACTCTTGCCTTTGTTGGAATAAAACCCTTTGTGATAACACCCAAGTAATTCCCTTTATCAATGCTCTTGGAGGTGATACAGGAAAATAAAAAGCCAGAGCTTTTCAATACAGATTAAGATCTCTTTGAAACAAGGCAGGTTTCTGACATATTGTATTGCCATCATGCTCCGTAGTGTTCACCTTTCCATTTTCACTGCACATATTGCTCAGTAACAGGAGAAAAGCCAATAGCATCTGTTTAATACAGTTCCTTTCCTTAAACAAGAATGCGGTCTGTAGCAAATCTCGGCACCCCAAGTACTGTGCCACAGTACAAGGCATAAGAAGAGGAGCCCTGCTGGATCAGGCCAAAGGCTTATGACTAATGGTTACATAGCACTCCACCAGTTTAAGAAAACATGTTCTTGCCAATGGCAGTGGCACAGTGGGTGAAATGTGGAAGTAAGTTTTATCTGTGGATCTGCCAAGGCTATGAAAGTCCTTGCCAAGGATGATTCTTTGGTCCTATCACTCATGGCTTCCAATAGTGTAACTAAAGTGTGTTTTTTTTAATACCTTGTTACAGGACTGCAGATATTTCTGTATTTTATCTGTTCCTTGTTTCTCATGTAGTTATTAGTTTCACAGCCTTCCAAGTGATACTGACTAGCAGTGTGGATCATTAATTATTCAAATGCTTTCCAAGAGTCTAGGAATCTGAGAGTTATTGTCTGCTAACACTATCTAACACGATTTTTGTCCCTCAGTTATAAATATTATTTCCTGATTTGTTCGGTCATACATACATGGAAAAAGTTTATTAAACTGCAAAAACTTTGTGTGGTCTGCGCATCAAAATGTTAAATTCATCAATCAAAATTACAAGCCAGGTGCCTAGATGAGTGTTTCTCAACCTTTCTAATGACGTGATCCCTTAATACAGTTCCTTATGTTGTGATGACCCCCAACCATAAAATTATTTTCATTGCTACTTCATAACTGGAATTTTGCCACTGTATGAATCATTATGTAAATATCTGATGTGCAGGATGTATTTTCATTCACTGGACCAAATTTGGCACAAATACCCAATACAACTCAATAGGGTTGGGGGGGAGGGGAGAGAGCTGATTTTGTCATTTGGGAGTTGTAGTTGCTGGGATTTATAGTTCAACTACAATCAAAGAGCATTCTGAACTCCACCAATGATGGAATTAAACCAAACTTGGCACACAGAACTCCCATGACCAACAGAAAATACTAGTAGGGGTTGGTGGGTATTGACCTTGAGTTTTGGAGTTGTAGTTCACTGAGCCAGAAAGCACAGTGGACTCAAACAATGATAGATCTGGACAAAACTTGGCACAAATAATCAATATGCCCAAATGTGAACACCGGTGGAGTTTGGGGAAAATAGACCTTGACATTTGGGAGTTGTAGTTGCTAGGGTTTATAGTTCACCTACAATCAAAGAGAACTCTGAACCCCACCAACAATGGAATTGGGCCAAGCTTCTCACACAGAACCCCTCTGCCTTGAAGGGACTCGCTAGCATGAGCCTCCCTCCCACCTCGCATGCTGTCCCTCACCCCACACATGCACACCACATTGCCATGCGCCAAGCATGCCTACTCTCCCCCTCCCACTTGGAGCCTCAGACACAGCCCTCCCCTTGGCTTAGAGGCCGACTGAGAGGCTAATCAATCACAGTGGAGGAGGGCATTTGGTGGGAGGATTCACCATCTGTTTCCAAAAATGAAGAGAAGGACAGGCAGAAAGATCTTTGGTTTTCTCTACCAAAGAGGTTCCTAAGACCATCAGAAATATATGTTTTGTGATGGTCTTTGGCGACCCCTCTGAAACCCCCTTGTGACCCCCCCCCCCCAGATGCTGATTCTCAGTTTGTAGGTCTTGATTTGCCAAAACTGGTGGTTTAGTAATTAAAACATGTACAATATTGTTAAAAGATGCAGAGGACTAGCATCAACATATAACTAAAGTATTAAGAACACTGGAAAGAATGTAAAAAATAAGATTTGAAATTTAAAAGGCTTTTTAAAAACAGTTCAATTAACAGAATTGTATTGGTAATTTGTATGCTGTGTCTTGTAACAGCTTTTAAGTTGTAATTGGCTTTGGGAGCTCAGATTGTAATGGAAGTAGAGTAAACGGTTTCCAAATAAAAAATGTAATGGTGAAAAATGAAATGGTGTAAACAGTGGAATGCAACCCTGAAGATGAGGAATAAAATCCTTACTCAGCCATGGAAACCTTTTGGGTGACCTTGAGCAAGTTCCAACAACAAAAAATGATAATGTCATTATGAACCTCACAAAGATTGTTGCAAGAGTTGGTTTTGTCCACACATCCCTTTCCCATTAGATGACCTGAAGAATCTTTTTCAGAAATAGCAAACCTACAGCTATTCAGCGATTGCTGAACTGTAACTTCCATCGTTCCTCGCTGTTGGCTGTTCTATATGGGCTAGTATAATCCAATAATTTCTGAAGGACTCTTAAACTTGCTGTTAACCTTGATGGCATATTTGTCAGGATTCAAGCAAGGAAGAGTATATAATGGACTTTGAGGCTCAAGACCTCTAGAAGATTTCAGATCTGACTTGCATTGTAGTTAGAACCATGCTGTGAGTTTCCAGTCATTGCCATAGAGATGCCGAGTGCCCTTTTGCCTGTCTCTTGCCTCACTTGCCCTATTTTCCCTCTTCCTCTTTTCCTTGCTTTCACCTCTCCTCCCACCTTCTTCTCATTGCACTGAACCTTGCCTTGCTCAA